CCATGCAGGACTTTTCCCCAGATGACTTATTTGGAAAGGATTAATCACTTTAGAATGATCTGGAGTGCATCTACATAGAACATACTGCAATCTGAGAGCTTCTCATTTGTTTGCATAAATACGGCTTTGCACTCCTCACATACCGATTTAAACGGTCAAACAGATTAATTGTGTTGCCTTAAGTGCCAGTTTTTGGTCAACATCATCTTCTCTGTAGCTGCAAAATCTCCATACAATTGACATGATGCTTCATTTTGCAAACAAACCCAATTGTCAGTGTTTTGTCAGACAGAACTCTGTTGTATGATTAGTCATGGAAAATGAGAACTGTGTGAGTTTTCTTTTCGCATCAGGCAGCGTGTTGTGTTTGAGTTAATTTGTCTTACTCACATTGCAGTTCTTGCGGTGCCTCAGTTCGACGCTGAAATTACATACTGCTCAGCCCTAAAAGCAATCACTTCACCATCATTTGGTGACACTTGTGGATTCGTTTTCTTCTCTCTGTGTATAAACGGATTGATGTCACGTCCATTATCTTTTCAGCAGCTTCAGTGGAGTCTGATAGCGAGATGTGCCAGTAAAGTGTTTTTCAGAGCTTCTCTCCGGAGCGCCCATTTTGGACCGACTTTCAACAGTCGCACAGGGGCAGGAAAATCCATCTTTAGAAAAGGCAGAGAGGCGGATTTCAGCACCCACAGTAGCAGCAAATAGATTTCACTCCACAGCCGTCATCAGAGTGGGTTGAGGCTTGAGTCATTTCTCAGCCAGGAAAACTTGCCCTCTCTCTTGTCTCTGTTCTGCTTTGTTATTTGACCTTCATTTAACCGTGATGATCTCCCGAGATCTAGTTTTTGAGAGAGTTGAGGCCAAAACAAACCCAACGAAACCTTTAATGAGGCACTTTTTCTGCAGCAAATGTAGGAAACCGCGGGTGAAACGAGGTGTGTTGCGTGAGGGGAATACGTGCACACAATGCATTCAACACAGCGCGGACAGCAGAGCGTGCCAGCAGCTATCTGAGGGATTAGCCGGAGTCATGGTCGAGCGTAGCTGCTCCTCCCAAACATCCAGCTGGACAGCCCAGTTGGCGCTAAACACACAAACATGTTGTGTACACCTGTAACAAAGAGTTAATCTTTAATGCAACGGGAGCGGCAGGAGGCAGTGCAGACATCCAGGTTGTGTTTACAGTCCGGGATGCTGCTGTGGCTGAGCTGCGTGTGAAGTCTGGCACAATCTGCTGCATCTGATGCGAAGGTGATAGTCTGGAAATGTGTGAATGGTATTTGAAGCTCTGTGTGTGTGAGCGTGTTCTCATGTGTGACTTCATATGAAATGACAAGCTGCTCTGACCTTTACTCTTTCACCATACTGTCATTATAGAGAGTCTTGCCTTTGCACACATGCTCTGCTGCCCTCTAGTGGCCCAGTTGTCTCCTGCACCTTTTTCCCCATTCATAAACAATCGCATGTGTGTGTGCATTCAAGTCATTCAAGGTTACCATCTTTGCTTCTTTATTCATTATTAATGCCTCAGTTTTAAACCTCCAGCCACCTCGGTCTCTGTTTTATTTCCCTGTTGCTCCATTTTCATGTCTTAGTGATCCAAATGCTCATTAATTCTTAGCTGCAGCTTTTAAACGCTCAAAATTCTCTGACAGATACGATAAGATAAAACTTTATTAATCCCAAAGGAAATTCTTGTGCCCAAAGCCGCTCAGAAAAAAACAAAATGACATAAGAAACACAGCGCCTAAAAGTGGAAAGCGATAAAATAGAAGTAGGCTAAGCTAACATAAATCTAGAATAGAACATTAAAAAGTAATGCTGACAATTATACAGAAGGAATAAGTAATATCACACATGATAATGAAATATTGCACCTGGAAAATGAGATGAAATATTGCACGTTACATCAAAATGAAAATGAGATGTTGCATGAAACTGGAATATTTCAACTGAGAGATGAAAATATTGCACATAAAATGCTACACATGCTACAGAAACTGATATTATACAAACTATTAGGAAGTAATGCTGCACATTATATTGATGTTATCGATGCATTAGCTGCCGTGAAAGCCTCATTCACAGCAGGAGACCCTGAAAAGCTAAACCGCTGATGCTACGAGCGGCAAGAAGTCACGCATCGACTCTCCAGCAGTCACATGTTCACTCAAACATGAGCCGCAGAGAGAGATTTGTCCGTGTGCCAGCCAGATAAAGAGCTGCTATCTTAATAAGTATCTTTCCGGATAAAGGCTTAAGGCAGACGCTGCATAAAGAGTGGCTTTATTAGGCTCATTACAGGAGCTCATCTCCCTCTAAGAGCTGAATCTCAATCACATAAACACATATTGGGGCTGGAGAGGGTCACCGGAGCCCTCACAGCTAATATTTACCAAGATCACCTTGTTGTAAATAAACCAGGATCGGCAGTGATGAAGAGCTCAGCTTGGATATTGAATCGTCTCAGTAATTTAACTCCCTCCGTTCTTGAAGATGTGTAATTGCCAGAGATTATGATTTCCCTAATTTGAATTATGTAAATTGAGTGTAATTTCATTCCGGGGATTGGTTTGACCAGCAACGTACAGACTCAGTGATACGTGTGAACTCATTTAATTAACATGGATTCAAAGCTAATTAAATGACCCCTAATGGCAAGTTATTGATCGATGGCGATGGAAAGGCAGAGAATAAACTCTGACTGATATAGAAGTATTAGATTTGTAAGTTAGGTTTAAAAACAATAAAAAATAAAAAAATTGAAACCTGGCAATGACATAAGATTTCATTCTCTGCAATTCTTGATTTTGCGTTTTTTCTCTCTAATGTTGAAAACATGGGGAATCATTAAGCCTCTAAACCTCATGCAGTTTCTGGGTGATTTTTTGCTCTTAACTATTTTTACTCACTTTTACTGTAATATAAAATCCTGCACCTCTGTGGAAACAGAATAATCAAGGCTAGAAATAGAGAGAACTCACAAATGTTTATATAATAAAGTGATTTTGATGAAATGCCACGATTTTAGCCTAGATTTCACTATTTTTCCTGATGTAGATAGACATTACAGATGATACATTCAAGTGTTATTTAAACTGTGAAAATCTGAAGATTTTTTCTGTTTTTACAGCTTGTGACTCGGAAAATTAGTGTAATTTTGGCGATTTTTATTTTATTTTATTCAGATTAAATGCTTTTGAGGAACCCTGGTGGGTTTTGGGGGTTCAGAGGAGTGCTTACTCAACAAAAAAAGAATCAATTTGTTA